TATTTGATAAACAAAACTGCGAAGGACGATTTGTATGATAGGAGTTAGTCCTCTTAAAGTCACTGTTCCAGTCACCACCGATAATAATATAGTCTTCATCACACGTCGAAATAAAAAATCTAAAGTCCTTAAGCGTATCTTCGAATTCCTGATTGTTACGATTGTCACATGGCATGTAAACACAGCACAATAATATTTTGGTATTATTATAGTTAATTATAATAGCACATGCACGTTTAGAATCTGAATTAATCGGTTTAATATCACAGATAAGGGAACTCTTCCACAGTATAGCACAGCCACCAAACGGTCGACATAGCATCACATTATTACTGTCAATTCCTGATGTACCGTAAACTTTAACGTCTTTTATTTTCTCCTCAAATATATTCAGTTGTTCTTGTAAGAGCCAGAGTTTCTGAATCAAGACGATATCGTGTTCTTTGCACAATTTCTGAACATACTCAAACCTGTCTACCCCATGACCATGTATGATACGATCGTAAAACTGTTCATTGTGATTTCAGTCTAGTTTGAGAATCGTCACGTCGACGAAAATACTTGCGAATACGAACACCTTCAGGCCATAGGGACTCATCAAACAGTTTACTGAATTCCACTTCTGGAACAGTGAGTTTAAAAGATTTATATATCGCACTAGGGTTGGAAATACACTCTACACGTCTTACTGTGAAATCATTAGAAGTGTGGTGGTCCAAGTCCCGATGGTAGACGGGACTACTTAAGTCGAGATTCCTACGCCGAAGAACCTGGCCTGTATATAAGCGTGGATGACCGTGTGTGAGGCCCACACATGAGTTACAAGACTTAGAGTAAAAAGGTATTGTTCTTGTTTGTTATAGTAACGGACATATTCCGAAGTGGGACTTCGGGGATAAACACTTTATTTGGTAGTACCGGATAAAAATTATTTAAGTTTACGTTGATTGAAAAAAAGTTTTTTTTCTGTTGACGGGGAGGAGAAGTTATAGTAGGGATAATTGTTTAATCATTGATATTTATATTGTTGTGTGAATTATACACGCTCGTAACATACACGTGCGTGTGCATTGCACGTGCAGGCTAGCACGTGGGGGCATTACATCTCCATACATCACTGGTGTCTATTTGATATTGTTTATACAATTATAAAGCATAAATAAACGGGTTTAAATTATAGTTAGATAGTTAGGAATTATGTCGGTAAATATTAATACCGTGTCATTGTTGGACTTGGGCGTGAGTCCGATAGCGGCCGATAGAATTTTAGATCTTCGTCATGCATGTGGACATGTAGCTCAAGATGGGCTTTTAGGCATTCCTGAAGTGATGGATTTGTCGGCAAGTATTTTTGTCAAGTTATCCTGTAAGGAAGAGGGGGAAAGTCCTTCAAATTCAACCCGGCCGAATGCGGGTAGGCCTGCAAGACCCGAAAATAAAACACGGAGGAATACAGCAGTTATTCCCAAATATTTGAGCTATGATGGTCAATCTAATTGGCATGCATTTGCGAATAAATTCATGCGATACGTTACTATGAATTCCCTTTCCGATCAAGAAAGTTGTGATAGTTTGTGCTTTTGTTTAGAAGGCAAGGCAAGTGAGTATTATTGCTTGATATCTGATAGATATGCCCATTTGACATTATTCGAATTATTGGGAAAACTGGAAAAACGTTTTGGAAATCAGGACTTGCCTGAAACTTCAATGCTTTTGTTTGCAAACCTGAGACAACATCGTGATGAGTCTTTGAATGATTGGTCCGACCGCGTCTTGACGGTTGCAAATAAAGCGTTTTCCGATTGTACGGAAGCCCACATAAGTAGACAGGTTGTCTTGAAGTTCTGTCAAGGTTGCTTTGATAAGAAAGCGGGACAGTATGCTTGCAATATGCGTCCTCCGAATATAGAATCGGCTATTCAGTCAATTAAATGGTTTAGGCATAATAACATTGCTATCTATGGGAATAATTCACGTGGTCCTAGTCGTGAATACGAAGCACGTGTTCAGACTTTAGCTACTTCTGCTAAAAATACTAAGGCGCTAACTTCTAATGAATCAAAAAATGATGATAGAGTGGAAACGTTAGAGAAACGTTTTGACGATATAAAAAAAACATCTTGGTGAATTGTCTTTGACTGTGAAAAAGATATTAGCGTCTATTGATCGTTTAAAATCTCGTTCAAGATCTCTATCCAGATCTCGCTCTCCTTCCAGGGAACAAGTTTCATGTTTTCATTGTGGAAAACAAGGTCATTATAAGCGGGAGTGTCCGAATTTATTTTCTCCTAGGCATAGTACACCTTTGTCCGGTAAAAAGGATGCCGACAAACACGTGGCTTTCGTTGCGGATTTAAACTAGAACGGTTCGAACGAACGGGCGAGCGTCCGGTCCCACTTAATTATGATTCGCCTTTTTACGAGACGTTAAGCGACGCCGGTCTAAGCGGTACACCTAAATGTAGGAGTGAGCTTCTTGATTCGGTTTGTGATACCACCGAAGCCGTCGGTGCCACTGTTGAAAACACCGTTGCCCCGGAGGTTGGTGTCAATATTGTTCCAGCTGATACCGTTGATGATGGTGTCATAGGTATAATACCCGAAACTCCTGTATTCGCGTCTGCGAGTATTCGTCGCGTCAATACTGATGCTATGTATAAATTAAAAGTAAAAGTACAGGGAGAAGATATCTTATCTGTCAGAGATACGGGTAGTTAATGCACTATTCTTAGTGATAGACGCTATGAAATACTTAAGAAAAAAACGCCAAAAATTACGGATGTTAAGCTGTATACTGCTAGCCGGGAAATGAATTTTCCAGGCTTTATCGTTGGTCCTGCTGAAATAGATCTTGGATCTTTCCAAATGGAACTAGATCATTTGTATGTCGCTCCAATCGAAGACGACATGTTGCTAGGTTTAGATTTTATGCGCGCCAATAAAGTCCGAATTGATATGTTAACGGACAAGTTGCAAATAGGAGATGATGTTTTTGACTTGATTTATAGTGAAAACGATGAATGTGACGAACATGCTGATATTGCTGTTGTGAAACGAACTCTTACACCACCGTTAACTGTAGCGCGTGTGCGATGTAGTCTAAGTAAAAGCCTATCGCGATATGTTATAGAACCCATATATCATCCTAATTTGTTGTTAGCTCGATCTGCTCATTCGCACGTTGAAACGGAATTTCCTCGGATATGTTTAATCAATCCGTCACAAGAAACGATTGTATTAGAGACTAATCAAGCTGTTGGCAAGGCAGTAGAATTTAATGAAAATGACGTTTTAAAACCGTTAGAGACGGGTGAAGTGAAAGATAGTAACGCTGGTTTACTTAAGATTCCAGAGCATTTAATAGATTTATATACTTTTCAAAAAAAGTAGGGGATATTTGATTTTTAAGTGTTATTAAATGAAATGAAGTTCACATTCATCGATTTATTCCAAATGATCGTTAGACTAAGTAAGGCACAGACTGACCATTATAAGGGTAAAATGATACCCGGGGTCAAACAGCAAAGTTACCACAGCATCACAACCAAGTCAGTAACGGGTAAATCCTCCTCTGTTTGCCAAACAAGCATTGATCCGACGTGGCATACTCCTAATGAGACGTCTAAGGTCATTTTGGTCCAGATTGTCCCATTTCTGTTGCAACGCAGCAGCAAGTTCTTGGACATTGGCAGGACGTTGTTGACGTTGACGTAACCTCTGTCCAAGCATGTCCCAGACATGCTGGATGGGGGAGAGGTCGGGACTCAGTGCTGGCCAAGGTAATGTGGTGATGTTCTGTTGTTGGAGGTAACCTGTAACGATCCTGGCCCTGTGACATCTTGCGTTGTCATCCTGGAAGATGAAACGGCGGCCATGACGTCGTGCGAACGGCACAACATGGACTGCCAAGATGTTGTCCCGGTAGTACTGGCCTGTAACACGCCCTGCAACAACATGTAAAGCCGTTCTTCCAGCAACAGTGATGCCTCCCCACACCATAACAGAACCACCCCCAAATCGATCATGTCTGATGACGTTAACGTCTTGGAAGCGCTCGTTTCGACGACGCCACACCCTCCTACGTTTGTCCAAAAAATCAACAGTGAACCTTGACTCATCTGAAAACATCACATTGCTCCAGCGTCGATTATCCCAGTGTTGACGATCCCTACACCAACGACGTCTTGCCTGAATGTGATGATCTCTCAAACAAGGAATCACGCGAGGACGTCGGGCGCGAAGGTGACCCCTATGCAGTCGATTCCGAATCGTCTGGCCACTCACTCTCACACCAGTGTCTGTTTGAAGACGAGCGCTGATCTGATTTGCTGTGATGACACGATTTCTCAAGGCCAAGGTACGGATAAATCGATCCTGGGCTTGAGTTGTCGTCCTTGGTCGACCTGAGCGTGGTCTGTCCTGTACAGATTGTGTATCACGGTATCTGGACCATAGCCTGCTTATGACAGACTGAGAAACATTCATCGTCCGCGCCACAACCGCCTGTGTTGTGCCGATCTGTAGCATGCCAAGGGCACGTAACCTTTCATTTTGGGTAAGCCGACGCATATCAAAATTTGTTTTCTGGTCACTAAAACAATTAAACTGATGTTTCCACCCTGGAATTCAATGCCACAATGACTGTAACATTCAAAGTCAGAGTCGTGCAAATCTTGGGTTGGACCCCCATGATGATCCCAAGCATCACCTGCATTCCATGCGGTAGCTATTGGTGCGTTTGGGCGTCACATGTAACTGGAAATGTTTCTTCTGTTAGGGTCTATAGTGACTTTTTTCGTAGTCATTTGCATATTTTAGTATTATGCCCCCAAAATCAAATATCCCCTACTTTTTTTGAATAGTATAGCACACTGTATGGCGTACTCCGCCTTCATTATCCAAGTTGGAGCAGAACAGTAGGACGTTTAACCCCATTTCATTTTATTTTGTTAGGATTATTGGACCAAAATATATTTTAAAACCCCCAGAAAATACGTCCCTTTAATGGGTTGTTTATTTAAAACATTAAATACAAGATTTATTCATATTTGAAATAACAGAAACAATAAAATATGTTTGAATTGTGTGGATAACTAATCTGAAAGTATTTTGTTGGCGTAACACTCTCAATCTGCGTTGGGGTAACACTGTCCATCTTGCTGCGCTTCTGTAAATATACTAATGTCCAAAAGAAATTATACACTGAGCATTTCGTCCTGCTTCAAACAAAGTCGTTTTTCCATTGTATGCGGTATTTGGGTACAATGTCTATTTGTTTTGCCGTTTATTTGCTTAGAAATATTGAGTTTGGACGCACGAGACATGTTCAGTATAGTTTTATCACATTTTGTTGATTTAAACAAAACTAAGTCATATTTTTAGTGTGTATACTTTCTTTTGGACATTAGTATAGTTACAACAGTCAAAAATATTGGAATTGCCAACGCCGTTCAATATAAACAGGGTAATCACACCGTTTGTGACCTGTTTATTCAGTCAATGCCCCCCCCCCCCCTAGATATGATTAAATAACCACTCCTTATCTCTCTAACCCAATTAACTAGACAATAGTTTATCTCCCTGGGGCTAATTAAATGATTATCCATTAATCCCATATCGCAGAGAACACAAAATCACACAAAGACTATTATTCAAGTCAAAAATGTTCATATATTATATTATTAATCCATCTGGGAAAAGTTGAAACTTCCCAGCAGGAACGCATATCATCCTTTTCACGACGTGTGACCTTGCTGCGTTATGTCACTGACATCTGTTTTCCTAAATCACACAATCATATTAAAACAGATTCTATTTTTTTTCGATTTTTATAGTTCAAAATGTCGTTTAACTTGCCTTTACTACACTAGGATCTGGTAGAGTTGTTGTACAATCTGCTTTCTGGTTAATGTGAGGGATTAGCTAATGAAACGGTCTGTTGCAGCGAGTTCTTGGCGTGCGATGCAGGGAACTATGGGTCTCCTACTAGAAACATCAACGCTGATTGGTTAATCAAATGTCTGACCCTTCATACGACGACCACCCACTACAACTGGTCAGATCTTCATGTAGTGTAGACCATCGAAAGTATAAAAAAACGAAAAGAAATATAGATCGGCATTTTAATCAGACAGTAAATCACAATAAATGGTGTCCTACATACAAAGGCTAATCATTTTGTTTATCCTGCAGACCTATAAAAAACAGCTTCACTAATTTAAACAGCTTCTTGGATATTGTCTAATCTCCTGCATGGGACTAACATGCGGGATGAAGTTTTTTTGTGAGTACATTGTCAGTAGACATAGAAATTGACAACATATTTAGCTTCCAAGTTTTAATTTGATGAAACCAGCGTCTTAACTATGTGTTTATAATTTAATTTTAATAGAGTGATGTACTTTTGGCTTGATGTGCATACATTACTTTTGGCCTATTGATGCCACAGTGTATGGCTATAAAAAGTATGGACAATACGTTTAACGAAAGGCAGGATTAAGGGAAATAACTCCTACGTAACACAAGACATACGGCTATATTGACGTGGAATTCGGTCACAAGGTGCATATACACAACACGTCCCAATTTCACAGAGCCTTATATATAGACCGATCTATTTTATCAGTAAATTTTAAAAAATGACCGAATTGGCGAAACGTTGCTATTAAATCAGATAATCCTATATGTCTGACATATCGTTCACAACTACGTTAACCTAATCTTAAAACTCTATAAACATTATGTTTTCGTGAGGATAGTTTATATATTTGAAAGACGGAGGGGAGGGGTTAGGGGGAGGGGGGGTAAGTCAAACATCATCTACTAACCCGACTATGCACGAAAAAGTCCTTGTTATTATATTGTCAATTTTTCATTTTAAACGAAACAAATTATTAATACTAATGGAGAATAAAATTATGGAAGGAGTATAATGGTGTATTTAATGGTGTATTTAATGGTATTAAAGGAGTATAATGGAGTATTTAATGGTATTGAAGGAGTATAATGGTGTATTTAATGGTATTGAAGGAGTATAATGGAGTATTTAATGGTATTGAAGGAGTATAATGGTGTATTTAATGGTATTGGAGGAGTATAATAGAGTATTTAACGGTATTGAAGGTATATAATGGAGTATTTAACGGTATTGTGGGAGTATAATGGAGTATATAATGGTATTGAAGGAGTATAATGGTGTATTTAATGGCATTGAAGGAGCATAATGGAGTATTTAACTGTATTGAGTATTTAAAGTCATCCATGGTCAAGGTCAGGGAAGACAGAGAAGACAACCACCTTAACAAGTCATTGTCTACTGTACAAACCATGGGCATCAATAGTAATCCTTTATCTGGAGTAAGGTATTGTTTAACACCAACAAACACGCGCAACAATTTCAGACAATAGGTTTGAACTTAAGAGATAGTTTATCTTTCCACCAGGCAACGGGTTGGATGTACCCATCCTTGGGTATTAACAATTTTAAACAATAGGCTTGAACTTCAGAAATGATTGATCTTTCCACTGGGGAACTGTTGGTGTTTGCCCTTTCATGAGTATTAAAATAGATCTACAGTGTGTAATCAAGGATTTGAATACATGTATATAGAATACTGAAACCGACATTTATTTATTTCAGAGTTAGGATCTTATTTAATTTCTTTCATGCACAGAACAATTTTGAGCTAAACTCCTTGACATTTGATAAGTGTTCTCAATTTATGTTTCTGTAGATGTCTTTCTTCCTAATCCACAAATTAAACGTAATATAATAATTAGCTTAACAGTGCATATACAGAACTCTATGGCTGTTGTAAATTACGATATTTTGATCAGGGTGGTGTATGGTATAAGTGATCAGTGGGAAAACTGTGTATGATATATGTGATCAGTGGGTGGTGTATGGTATATTTGATAATTGGGACAACTGTGTATGGTATATGTGATCAGTGGGTGGTGTATGGTATATTTGAACAGTGGGGTGTGTATGGTATATTTGATCAGTGGAACTACTGTGTATGGTATATTTTATCAATGGGGGTGTATGGTATATTTGATCAGTGGGACAACTGTGTATGGTATATGTGATTAGTGGGACAACTGTGTATGGTAGAAGTGATCAGTGGGTGGTGTATGGTATATTTGAACAGTGGGGTGTGTATGGTATATTTGATCAGTGGGACAATTGTGTGATATAAAATAAAATATAATACCATCGATCCTAAAAGTCAAGAAACACAATCTGTCAAAGTAGTGTTATAGTTTGTGTACGTGTCCATTAAAACGTGTCACAATAACTAGCGTATTCATGCTAACGTAGAACGAGGCATTCTGCCTCGAACACAACACCCACATATTTTTCCCCATGTGATTTTGATGATAACAGCGATACAGACGACAGGTTTCAATGACCCCCCCCCCCCACCACATCCACTGGGAATGAATCTACATGACGTGTCTGGTGAATATAAGCACTAACATATAAAACATATTTCTAATAACAACAATATCTCTAATTATCACATTACAATCTCATGTTGAAGACCGTTCACATCTTATAGTTAATATGTCATACTTGTATATCTTATAATTATATCCGATACGGGGCCACGTTGGCTAGGTGGGTAAGACACTGGCTCGCTAGCCTAGGGGTCGGGTGTTCGATCCCTGCATTGACCGAGAAAGTTCCGACGTGGTCTCCCCTTATCAGTGGCGCAGAACGGGTGGCCTGACAAGGACAGCTATCTAGTACTTCGGATGAGACGAAAAACCGAGGCCCCGTGTATATATTGGAATGCACGTAAAAGATCCCCTGGCATTTGGAATTCGATATAAGAGTAGGCGATAGTGCCGCTGTCCAGGCAAAATGTCCCTCATAGCACACTGTATGGCGTATGCGTTCCGATAGGATTGTCCCTTTTGAGTCCACGATCCGTGCAGATACGTTCGGATACGTTTCAATACGGCCAACACGGTTGCTACGACTGACCTCATTATATGATAAGATCTGATAGGATCACCACGCTTACTCCACGATTAAAACCACGATTTCACTCGTAGCAGGAATCACGATAGTGGGAACCTAGCATTAGCCTATTCGGGGCAGAATAGTAGGACGCTAAGCCACATTTTCATTATACTTATATAAATCTATATTTCTACGTACAGGGGGAGATAACTTAGCCCATATCGCTCGCAATGGAAAGTACAAGAAGGTGTCCAAGAAAGGGTCTGCGATATCACCGTCTCGTAAGTCAAATGTCTATCCACCAATCGCCATATCCGTCTCAAGAGTCAAGTGTCAATCCACTCGAATCGCTATATCCGTCTCTTGAGTCAAATGCCTTTCTACTTATCGTCAAATCATCAGCCACATGCTCACACGCCAATCAACATTGCCGTATCATGGGTCAAATGTCTACCCCACCATCGAAAGGTTCCAGTCCACATTGTAACATTAGAGACGAGGTTTGGCCTTGTAAAAGTCATTATGATTTAGGCATATCAATCTTAAGGCCCATTATTTACATGTTTCCTCTAAGGCCCGCTGTTTATAGGTTTCCTAGACGAAGAGAACAATTAACTCTTTTGTTGTTATTTGTGCATCAACCGTCACATGTTATCACTTGCTATGACGTTACGTCTCGAGTAAAGCAAGTTCATTGATACGAAGAAACTCCATCATACAGAAACCAAAACTAACAAGCGTAATGATTGAAGACAATATGGCGACGATGAAAGACCACCCCACAGAAAAGACGCCAGAAGCATCGACCCCTGACACGAAATATTCAAATAGTTTCCACCGGTCTCTTTTTATATCCATGCAGAAATCTTCACCTTTGACCCCTATTACTATTACAGCCATTAATACCATACAGCCTGTAAAAGAATACACAGAACAAAAATTATAAACAATTCATGGAACTTTAACATACCGTTAAACAATATAAAACGCAAAGTGACTTTCCAGAAAAAAATTCCACAACGCATAATGAAAGAGAAAGCAAAGCCTATAATAAAATCTCCAGTGCACAGCGGAAAGGCAAAGCCAATAACGAAATCCATGGAGCATAATGAATAGGCAAAGCCTATAATGAAATCCATGGTGCGAAATCAACAGGCTAAGCCAATAGTGCACAATGAAAATATCCAATGTATATCCGATGTATTCAAAACATATATCCGGTGTATGACGGATATACACATATACCCAGTAGTCCGGGAGCCCAGTGACATTTAATCAAAATATTGAGTCCAAAAGGCTTGAGGTCTACAACACATATTTTACCCCTAGATTATTTTGGAAAGCCAAGTCTTAAGTTTTGTAACCTGTGCATATACCTGGGAGCGCTCCCCCTAACCCTCCCAAATTTAATGGGAGTTAAAATTCAATGTTCATCAACAATTTTTTTGCAAGCGTTTCACACTTGACACTAAGAAACAGAATGCATGACTAAAGAGCATGCAATGTTGTGCTAATGCTACTTAAGAGCTTAATTAATTATCACTAATTAGTGACCGTAATTAACATTTAGAGTCCATAACTGAAACAAAGCCTAAAAGCTAGCTAACCAAGTCATGAAACCAAAAATATCACTTAAGAGCGACAAAAGTTGAACAAACCTTGCTTAAGACTCGTTCAAAGGTCAAAGGTCACTAATCAATGACCATAATTAAAATTTAGAGTCCATAACTGAAGCAAGCCTAAAAGCTCCTTAACCTAGTCAGGAAACAAAAAATATCACTTAAGAGCGACAAAAGTTGAACAAACCTTGCTTAAGAGTGGTTCAAAGGTGACAAGTGTCAAAGGTCAAATTTTAGGTCACAGAATGACGTTTGAGTGTATTTGATTAAATTGTCTTGTCCGGGATTATTTTTCTTTCTAACACCATTTCTATTAGTTCCACTGCACAAAATGACTGCTTAAGAGCATGAAATGCTGTACTAATGCTACTTAAAAGCTAATTAATTAGCACAAATTTGTGACCATAATCAAAATTTAGAGTCCATAGCTGAAACAAAGCCTAAAAGCTAGCTAACCAAGTCAGGAAGCCAACAATATCACTTAAGAGCGACAAAATTTGAACAAACTTGGCGTAAGACTGGTGACAAAGGTCATATTTTGGGCCACATTATGACCAATTAAGCAATCATTCCCATCAAATTGCTTATCTCTGCTTGCCCTAAAGAGACGCGGAAAAACAATGCGACGAATCACTCATTCCTAGGAAATGAAATGCAAAAAGTGTTAAGTTTTTCCATTTTTTCTAAATATTGAGAATGGAAGTATAGAACTGGATAACTCCCTGGTTTTAAAAAAATGCAGACAATTAAATTATGAATTAGTCCATATACGATTCGAAACATTTATGTGTTCTCCTTTACATGGATCTTTACGGGGAAAGAAGTCAAAATGGGAAGGTTATTTTCCGTATAATGCTATCAAGACCGGCTTATACTTACAAGATGTTTGTCAAAACGTCCATTTAGGACAACACGTATACATTTAATAATACATATAACCTAGAAAACAGATACAATGACACACAAGTAATACATTCATACAGACATGCGATACTCTTGTTGGCTAATACTCTTGTTTCATCATTTTCATTCTATTATGGATAATCGCTCCTAAATATTTCCAATTGTAAATTAGATTTACTGTGGAGTGAGGCACGAATTTCGGAATGCGATGATGTTTTGGGCGATTTCAACACCAGAGATGCTTCTTAAAGGAGACATACAATCCCTGCAACCGACCCATGACAATTTCTAGATATCAAAAGTAGTTTAGAGCTGTGATTAATTACAATATTCGATTTGTGTATTCCACCAATGCTACTTCTATTTATATATACATGTATGCGAAGTGGATAATTATTTTGATATAATATTTGTATTTTCATCATTGTGTTCCATACAGTGCTGGCGCCAGCCGTCGGTGGTTGGAGGGGCAAAGCTGGGGCAAAGTCCAAGGTTAAGGGGGCAAAGGGGTAGGGAGGTCTCCTTCAGACAATTTTGAAAAACAGGCTGCCGTAAATGCAGCCTGGCAGTATTTCAGGCACTGATCGTTGAGGTAAAGTGTCAAACTAACGGACTTGTGAACCGCGACAAAGCCAAATCACGAGCGCCAAATTGGAGACCTTCCCCCGCAAATTTTGAAAAATAGACTGCGGGAGATGCTGTCTGACAGTATTCTGTTAGGCACCGATCGTCGTGGTAAATAGGTCTGACTAAATACCGTCCGTCGCCTGATCACTAGTTTATCGACCAGAGAACAAAATGTCAAACTAACGGACATGTGAACCTCAACGAAGTCCCCTTGTGAGCGCCAAAGCAGCGAGTCCTTGTGGGGGTATTGGGGACCTGATCATTATTCTATTCGAGCCCAGAGAGGAATGTGTCAAATGAACGGACTTGTGAACCTCAACAAGGCAGCCGAAAATTTTGAAAAATTCACTCTCGGAAATGCAGTCTGGCAGTATTTCAGGCATTGATCGTCGAGATAAATATAGCTTACCAGATACCGCCTGTCGCCAAATCACTAGTTTATCCGACCAGACAGGAAAGTGTAAAACGGACGGAGTGAGTGGCTCAAAGTGAATGAATATTTTCGTTCGTCGCGATATTTTGTGAAATAGACTGCCGGAAATGCAGCCTGGCAGCATTTCAGACACTGGTTGTCGAGATAAATAGAGCTGACCAGATACTGTTCGTCACCAAATCACCAGCTTATCTGAATAGAGAGGGTGATGTCAAACGAACGGAGTGGGTCTATCAAGTGAATGTATATTATCGCCGCGTTGACATATACCCAAAAACTTTGAAGATCGTAAAAAGCTGTTACCATGTGATTCACGTGTTATTGTTTATAGTAGGTTTATAGTAGGTTTACAGCAGGTTTACAACAGGATGGATTTGGTCAGGAATCACTCAGACTCTACAACATGCAAGTATATGACTGAGTGGGGATGTGGGATTCAAACACTGTAGAAAGTATTGATTACCGAAACGTTTCACAAATACATTTTTTTTATTTTCTAAAATTATTGGGGGGGGGGGGGCAAACAGAGGGCAGACCAGATTTATGGGGGGGGGGGCAAATGCTCCCCTTGGCGCCGCCACTGGTTCCATACATTTCTGTCTCCTCATTAACTGTATGCTTTTTATCTGTTCGTAATAATATTATATTGTTAACGATTGTAAATATGGATCTAGTACTGTCAAGCTTAATGTAGGCTATAGTAACCTGTGATTGTTTCCCATAAAAACTGTGTTCTGTTAAATAAAATGGGGGTTGATAAGAAAATTTGTTCGCAAACTAACTGATAAGTCCACAATAAATAAATACTTTAATTTTAACAAGCACACACCTGAGACATTATCGACAATGCGAAAGTAATTTAAAATGGCTGTTAAATCGAATAATGCCTAAAAGGAAGTTTAGTCTCCTTCAATTCCTTGTTGTACTGATAACTTTGCCATACTTTCAAGTGCATAATTAATGTTGACATCAACATTATTGTCATCTGCCTTTCGAAGAAAGCAGGGAACTATTAAAATGGGCCTGTTCGTCTGTCTGTTCATCAAGCCATTTGGGACACAATAACTCTTCTTCTAATTGAGGTAGAATTTTTAAACTTGGTGTAGGTGTTGATTATGTGAATGGCTCGATGGAGTGTGTGTGTGAGTTAGTTTTATTTAACGTCCGCTTCCACCGAGGTGATATCGCAGACAATCTCGATGGAGTTCGAAGATGCGCATTTTATGTTTAGGATCAGCAGAGATATGGGGGGGGGGGGGCAAATGCTCCCCTTGGCGCCGCCACTGGTTCCATACATTTCTGTCTCCTCATTAACTGTATGCTTTTTATCTGTTCGTAATAATATTATATTGTTAACGATTGTAAATATGGATCTAGTACTGTCAAGCTTAATGTAGGCTATAGTAACCTGTGATTGTTTCCCATAAAAACTGTGTTCTGTTAAATAAAATGGGGGTTGATAAGAAAATTTGTTCGCAAACTAACTGATAAGTCCACAATAAATAAATACTTTAATTTTAACAAGCACACACCTGAGACATTATCGACAATGCGAAAGTAATTTAAAATGGCTGTTAAATCGAATAATGCCTAAAAGGAAGTTTAGTCTCCTTCAATTCCTTGTTGTACTGATAACTTTGCCATACTTTCAAGTGCATAATTAATGTTGACATCAACATTATTGTCATCTGCCTTTCGAAGAAAGCAGGGAACTATTAAAATGGGCCTGTTCGTCTGTCTGTTCATCAAGCCATTTGGGACACAATAACTCTTCTTCTAATTGAGGTAGAATTTTTAAACTTGGTGTAGGTGTTGATTATGTGAATGGCTCGATGGAGTTCGAAGATGCGCATTTTATGTTTAGGATCAGCAGAGATAAGCAATTTGATTGGTTGATTGGTCATAATGTGGCACACAATATGACCTTTGTCACTAGTCTTACGCCAAGTTTGTTCAAATTTTGTCGCTCTTAAGTGATATTGTTGGCTTCCTGACTTGGTTAGCTAGCTTTTAGGCTTTGTTTCAGCTATGGACTCTAAATTTTAATTATGGTCACAAATTAGTGCTAATTAATTAGCTCTTAAGTAGCATTAGTACAGCATTTCATGCTCTTAAGCAGTCATTTTGTGCAGTGAAACCCATAGAAATGGTGTTAGAAAGAAAAATAATCCCGGACGAGACAATTTAATCAAATAAACTCAAATGTCATTATGTGGCCTAAAATTTGACCTTTGACCCTTGTCACCTTTGAACCACTCTTAAGCAAGGTTTGTTCAACTTTTGTCGCTCTTAAGTGATATTTTTGGTTTCCTGACTTGGTTAGCTAGCTTTTAGGCTTTGTTTCAGTTATGGACTCTAAATTTTAATTATGGTCATTCGTTAGTGACCTTTGACCTTTGTCACCCTTGAACGAGTCTTAAGCACGGTTTGTTCAACTTTTGTCGCTCTTAAGTGATATTTTTGGTTTCATGTCTTGGTTAGCTAGCCTTTAGGCTTTGTTTCAGTTATGGACTCTAAATTTTAATTACGGTCACTAATTAGTGCTAATTAATTAAGCTCTTAAGTAGCATTAGCACAACATTGCATGCTCTTAAGTCGTGCATTCTGTTTCTTAGTGTTAAGTGTGAAATGCTTGCAAAAAAAATGTAGATGAACATTGAATTTTAACTACCATTAAATATGGGAGGGTTAGGGGGAGCGCTCCCAGGTATATGCACAGGTTACAAAACTTAAGACTTGGCTTTCCAAAATGATCAAGGGGTAAAATATGTGTTGTAGACCTCAAACCTTTTGGACTTAATATTTTGATTAAAGCTCACTGGGCTCCCGGGTTACAGTGTATGACGTATATACATATAAAACATATATCCAGTCCATGGCGGATATACACATATAACATATATCCAGTGTATGACGAATATACACATATACCCAGTGTATGACGTATATACATTTAAAACATATATCCAGTCCATGACAGATATACACATATATCCAGTGTATGACGAATATACACGTAAAACACACCCGGTATCTTAAGGCTCGCTAATCGGGAGGTATCGGGGTCGCTCCCGTCGTTGGCCGAAAAGTTCCCCATAACACACCGTGTTCATTAACCCAGTTGGTGCAGAAAAGTTGGACGTTAAACCCCATTTCATAATGGAATAAAATAAAACCAAGTACGAACAATCCAAACCATAAGACAGAATTCCTAAAAAACGTTATAGGCAAAATAGTGTATTCAAGCAAAATAGTGTAATCAGCAAATGGACTGCTCCTCGTGTACAAAATACACGACAAACAGTGGTAACAGGTGTCCGGAAGAGTAAGCTTACAATTACACAACATTTCATAACGAAAATATACACTGTTCATCTATGATAAGAGTATATATACGATTAAAATAACCAACAGCGTTTAACGAAAACACACCCAACATACATAACTAAGAAAACAGTATAATAATAATAGTAGTTTATGTCATTGCACTTATCGATAAAGAAAAGACATGTTTGAAGCGAAAGCACACAGTGTATAGCAACAATATACAGTTTATAGCTACAATACATGGTGTATAACGATAATACACAGTGTATAACGATATTACACAGTGTATAACGATATTACACAGTGTATAACGATAACACACAGTGTATAACGATATCACACAGTGTATAACGGTAATACACAGTATATAATGATATTACACGGTATATAACGATATTAAACAGTGTATAACGATATTACACAGTATATAACGATATTACACAGTATATAACGATATTACACAGTATATAACGATATTACTCAGTTTATAACGATATTACACAGTATATAACGATATTACACAGTGTATAACGATATTACACAGTGTATAACGGTAATACACAGTATATAACGATATTACACAGTATATAACGATATTACTCAGTGTATAACGATATTACACAGTATATAACAATATTACCCAGTGTATAACGGTATTACACAGTGTATAACGAATTACACAGTGTATAACGGTAATACACAGTATATAACGATATTACACAGTATATAACGACATTACACAAGGTATAACGATATTACACGGTATATAACTATAATACACAGGGTATAACGACATTACACAAGGTATAACGATAATACACAGTGTATAAAGACATTACACAGTGTATCACGATAATAAACAGTGTATCACGATAATACATAGTGCATTACGCTATTACACTGTGTATAACGATATTACACAGTGTATAAAGATATTACACAGTGTATCACGATAATTAACAGTGTATCACGATAATACACAGTGTATCACGATAATACACAGTGTATTACGCTATTACACTGTGTATAACGATATTACACAGTGTATAAAGATAATGCACATTACCGGGCGTTCTTCGTCAGTCCAGATATCATACAAGAGTTGACCTACCTGCTGTAAATATAAGTAAACATAGTGCTATTAATATACCACGTGTTTCTTGTAAAGGTCTTATAACAACATAGGCTACCAGGATGACTGCTGATATAACAAACGCCAATAATCCGACAATACAAAAACCTTGTCCAGCACGAATAAAATCTGAAAATATACATAGTATATGTACTAACTGTGGGGGACTGTGGGGGGCTGTGGGGGGGGGGGCTGCTAAATTATTTCCGCGACTGGATAGGATTTAAACGACGATTAAACTCTTTGAGATAACGCTAATTTATGATATGTTAAGAGGTGGGGTGGGGTGGGCGTGGGGTGGGGGAGCAAGGGTGGTAGGCTTGTAATTTCGGCAATACTTCTTTTATGACCAAATTCCCATTTAATTTATCTTTTAGGAAGAAGGGAATCATTTGTGTACAATTTTTAAACTAGTTTGCGTTAAGAAGACTGTGTATGTAGTGGTTTGAAGTGGCGGAGGGGGGGGGGGAGGTTACAAAACTCAGAAAATAATTTAATACAGAATAATCTCCTATATACCTGGAATTTTAATCCAGTATTCACACGACCATTCACCAGTTTTAAAACTCCTCGAACATTTCTGCCATAAACTCACGGATATTCCATTCTCGATACCAAACCATTCCGATGATCCGAATGCTATCAGGAAGAGCACAAATCCCAAACAGAAACAGACGATTGTTCCGAGTCCCTTAAAGGAAAGGAAAGTGGGTCGCCTGTCAATCCCACGCAGACGTTCATTTAGCAGGTATCCGTTGATTGGCTTGGACGTTATCATCACGTGGTTTTTATTGGCGCGTTAAACCACGTGAACATATTAATTTCATGAGAATAAAAATCATATATTTGTGTATTCCACGCACAAAACCTGTCTAGATCGATTTAAAGGCGATGAAGCAGCTACCGGATTCTTTCGCAAAAATAACCACTTCCACTATAGATTATGCAAGAATCTATTTGATAGGTAAATATTTGTTTAATAGATTTTAATAGTCTGGCTGGAATAATCAGTGTTCTAAGTAGCCATAAGAATGGATAATAACACTTCTCCAAAATTATTAGCCTACTAAAAACCCACAACACTAAATACGGTTGCTTTTTGAATTTCCGAGAAAATAACTTAATGATTGTTTTGAAAGCGGTTGGTAATCATTATCACTCACAAACGTGTAATATTGCTTTTTTTCCAGACAATGTTCTACACCGTCACTGTATGAAATAATGTTCTGATCGCGTCTGGATGGTGTTTCCAATAATCACCACCGTGTTATTAATCACTCACAATTCCACGAATGATCCATTAAAATTACATTCTTTATGTTCTGCAGTCTTAGTTGTCAAAAGGTTGTTGTGGTGGGATTCTGAAACATAGAAATATAAAATACAACATTAGTTGATTGCTTTTATTAATCAGTATTACTTGTTTCCATACACGCCAATCCTTCAGTCATCCTCATTAGCCAAAACCTTTTAAAGCAGATTTCATTGCAACACTTAAAGGGATTTCACAGGAAACCGTGCAGTACTAAAATCAATGTATCGATATAAGAGAGGGAGAGAGAGCGAGAGAGGGTGGGGGGGTAACGTCCACTCGACTCAAACTAGGTCATTTCGAGACTAACATATGGTTTAAGTTTATTTCAATAATTCGCTTGCGCGTAGGGGTCTTTAGCAGTGGCAGGAAACCGGAGGAGAAACACCCACGAGGTTGGACAGGCGACCCTATTCCTTGGCACGTACAATCGGGCATTCGAAACCACGCCAATTGACTCAATGACAGGCTTTATGACACAGCGCGCACGTGCTAACCATTCAGCTATCCACCCCCACCCCCCCCCCACCCCCACTTTAAACGGGAATAAAATTTGGTTTCAGTACTCAAATCAATGTATCGATAGAGCCTATTTAAAGATACATTATGTAAGATTTAGATAAAGAGCTGACTATTCTTGTTGTAATATAGCTCAAACATAGATAATGTAAAATGAAAATATTGAAAATTTCATTCAAATTACTTCATTCTGAGCCAAGGTATCACTGTTTGTAGTTTTGATCAGATGTGTGCATAGTGGTAACCAGTGTACTGGTATATTCGAGACTTAGCCTCGCTTTCCCATTTTTAAATTAAATTTTAAATGGCGAAGCCTTCTAATCTAGTTAAAATCTCGAATATCTGATGCCATCGAGAGTTGATTATGGTCTTGTTTTGTTAATATGAGTCTAATTAATAGTTTAACATTCAAGGAATAAAGAAAGACCTTCAAAAGGCAGATTTAGCTCTTGCATAATTTATGTTTAACCTTTGTGAATGTTTAAAATACAGGAAAATGATCTCTTGATTTGGTTAAATCTTTTGGGAAATTTCATTCTTCAGTTGTATATTTGACTTTATAATCGCAAACATCAAGTACGGCTATAATTTCTGTCATCCAAGTACCTCTTACACAGCGTAGACTTATGGTCATCTCGACATGGAAGCTAAAAAATTGTATTAACGTTTGTGTTTCTTCAAAAAAACAAATAAAATGAAATAGTCTAACTTCCTGCTTTTCTGCAAAACAACTGACGGGCATACGCCACGAAATTTTCTGCTATGGGAGTCATTTGCCTATACAGCACCGTTGCCACCTACTTTTCGCTGATGTTAATGTGCACACCAACATGTACTCGGGTCAATAATATATGTGGGGATGGTCCTTTAACATTGTTAGCCACGTAATATCGGGAAACGTATAGAATTATATTTAGAATACAACAAAACGAGAAAATACTGAATATGATGAACATCTCAGATTCCTTGGACTACAGTCAACGAGCAGGAAATCCAAAGTCCAATGGATAAATTCTGCAAAATTGAGCTAAAATTGAGCAACATTTTCCCTGTTTTCTCTCCCGACTGGTGTATTAAGATTTCCCTTATTCTCGCTGGCTGTAGTTTATGTTATAAAATGGTACTATGAGTTTAAGGGAAAGACCCCCCCCCCCCCCAATGAGACCAAGTAAGCGTCCCTAAGGGTCACAAAAAATAATAACAAAATCAATAACAATCATAATATGACATGAAATTCATGTCAACTTGAATAAAACTGATTTCCATCGAGATAACGATCGGCGAACAACTATAATAATATAGGCAATCGGATTTATATTCTACCGGGGTGCTCAGTGTTATAGCCAGACTAATTAATTCTAAGATGGCTCCCGAGACTTACAACCAACCCCTCCCCCTATTCACACCTTCTAGATTAGCTACTGGTTGCTTTGTACGATGTGATTGGGGTTATACTGTCCATGCTGACTGTATATTAAGATGGTTTAAAATGGATCTATATATGCTGTGTCCATGCTGACTGTATATTAAAATGGTTTAAAATGGATCTCTATATACTGTCCATGCTGGCTGTATGACGTGGTTAAGGCTAATTGTAAACGAGGTATTGATCCAATAGAAGAATAAAGTAATTCGTTAAAGTGTTTCTCTACTAGGAAATAAACTACAAGTACAGAGCGGTTGGTCCAGGTCACGTTTATATAACACAGACATCCCATTCACAATCCGTCAATAATAACCCATTGATCTAAACTAACTTGGTTAGTGTTAAATCTATTTGTTAAGGCCAGCTCAATTGTTCGTCATAGGTCACGAGATGTAAACAGGGCTAGCGCTAATCCCAACCTTAATCCTAACCCTGGACCTATCCCCAATGCTTACCTTAACCGTAAGGTACAATTTCGCCAACAATCACGCGCCCTAACCTTATTTACATTTTAGCGACCTTGACAAAAAATGTGCTGGCCTTAACAAATAGATTTAGCCATCTGAACTTGTAGTCGTCTAAATACAGCGTTATGACGGAACACTAAAAGTCCCGATGCGCCATTTTAAGCACCTGCAAACTACCATACTGTGACAGATGAGAGAGAGAGAGAGAAAAATGGGGTTTAACGTCCACTCGACACAAACTAGGTCATTTCGCGACTAACATATGGTTCAATTTTATTTCAATAATTCGCATGCGCGTAGGGGTCTTTTAGCAGTGGGAGGAAACCGGAGGACCCGTAGAAAACCAACGAGGTTGGACATGCGACCCTACTCCTTGTCACGTACAACCGGGGATTCGAAACCACGCAGTTGACTCAATGACAGGCTTTATGATACAGCGCGCACTTGCTAACCATTCGGCCATCCAACCCCCCGTGAAAGATGAACCTCTAATAATAGGAATATCATCCCTGAAATGGCCCCATTCAGATCAATATTTACAATGTTATGTCAAATTGAAATGTCGTCATCTATGCTACACCTTATGCAAAAAGTCCACCATTTTGTTATTTACAAAATTTTATGATATGTCTATTTTAAACCCGATTGAATCCAAGCCGTGCGATTATCTAACGTTGATATTTTGATTTTCTTTTCTTAATAATTAAATGTTAAATAATCAATCTAAGTACATATTGGCGTGGATTAAGCCATGAGAAATTTGATATTTTAGCGACCAATGCCAAATAGGACACGAAGGAGTACCAGAACCGCAACATGAAGGAGTACCAGGACCGCAACACGAGGGAGTACCACAATATGAAGGAGTACCAGAACCCTAACATGAGGGAGTACCGCAACAGAAAGGAGTACCAGAACCCTAACATGAGGGAGTACCGCAACATAAAGGAGTACCAGAACCCTAACATGAGGGAGTACCGCAACATAAAGGAGTACCAGGACCGCAACATGAAAGAGTACCAGGACCGCAACATGAGGGAGTACCGCAACATAAAGGAGTACCAGGACCGTAACATGAGGGAGTACCGCAACATGAAGGAGTACCAGGACCGTAACATGAGGGAGTGCCACAACATGAAGGATTACCAGAACCGCAACATGAGGGAATACCGGTACCGCAACATGAGAGAGCACCGCAACATAACAGAAAGGGTTGTCGGTACAAGATAAGCTCCACATATTAGAGGTGGTGGATTGCAGATTTATAAAATATCGGTACTTCTTGATCCCAAATCGCCAATAAGTATTCATAAAATCGACATGAATTACCCTGATTCCCTCAATACGACATCCTAACCCGAACTCCTCAACATATCCTTCATCTACTTTTGGGGGATTACGGTGGCTACGTGTAAGACGCTGGCTCGCTAGCCTGGAGGTCGGGTGTTCGATCCCTGCATTGGCCGAGAAAGTTCATTTAAAACCGACTGATTAATTTTGATAATGCGTGTCCAATTTACACGTATTTAATTTCCTGACCACTGTTTAAAAATGAATCATTAGACATCGATTGGATTATTTGTTTTTTAACAGTGATTGAGAAATTAAACGCTTGTAAATTAGACACACATTATCAAAATTATCAATCAGCTTTAAACTGGACACAAATACAAATTACAAATTAAACGATTTTTTGTGATTTTAAACGATTTTACGAGTTTTTAAACAAAGATTTGATATTGAATACGTAAGATTAAACCCGGGTTACAGTGAAGAGATAATAATAATATTCTTTCCGATCCTGACATTGCTTATCCAGTACCTTCTACGGATTAAGGTTTGAGCGACTGACCATAAAACGGATCTAGTATTTCAGTTATGACGATAGAACGCCATTTTGTACCTTAAAAGGTTCCTTCGATGGTTGCATTTGAAGGATGGACTTAAATGCTACTGTCATTTTATAATACTTTCCCAGAATCACGTGTCGCGTTAATACAATTGCGGTGTCCTTTAAAGGAGCTAAATCGCTAATATTTGGGACCTAAAAATTGACGCAAATGGGTCACAAGGCATATAATAATGTAAAATGAATGTATATAAACTGATTTGCATTCAATCGTTTCTGTTTTTAATCTAATTTCAAATCTGTTATGTTCGGCGAAATACGCCATAAGTCTGAACCGAATGGCAATCTCTTGAGTCTGGTTATTCCAGTCTACACCGATAGTATTTATTGCGCATGCTCACCAGATAAGAATATGGCATCACCGTTTGACATGAGTTGTGGCATATGTCTAACCTCGTTTTTCGAGTCCCTTGTTACAAATGGCGTTGAAACGCACTATGGTACACGATTCGTGTACCAATGGTAAAATGTTTACTTTGTCTTAAATATTGGATATCAGAAGCCCATCTTTTCCCAGTAAGATCACAACATCAATGTTAGTTTAAATTGACAAATAATTCGTGTTTTCAATGTCGAAGACTTTGGGTGATATTAAGTTGGAGACTTAGCTACTTTAAGCTATGGGATTATGGTTATTATTATACGGAACTATGTATCTAATGATGGCCGGAAGGATATTTAGTAAGGTCAGGCTCACGTTTCAATGCCGATATCTGTAGGATTATCTG